GGAGGGCAGGGATCCCCAGGCTCTTGCTTGGTATTGGGGGGCGGGGGAGGGGTTCCCTAGGGCTTTGCATGAGGCTGGCATGGATGGAATTCAATACAGGATGCAACAGGATGCTGGAGTTGTCCCTTAAACAAACCGCACCCTCGTGTGCTGTGGTCTAGAGCCCCTGGGGTGGAGGAGCTCCCGGTGAAGTCCCCAAGCCAGGGTCTGCAAGCTGTGCGGGCGGCTGAGTGGCTCTCGCTGGGTGTGGCTGGGGCTCTGCGGGGAGGGGGGGTCACCGATCCAGCCCCCCCTACTCCCGCCTCCCCCGGGCGGGACTGCACAATGACAGGAAGCGGGGCTCCACGCTTTGTCCTGAGCGCCGTGCAGACCGCCGCTTCCTCCAGCCACTATGGGGACAGGACCCGGCGTCTCCGGGCGCCGAGCGACAGCCAGACCGGGCTCCGAGCTGCCCTCCCCAAACTCCCAGTCCCCCTGGGACGGGGGTCACACCCGCAGCATCGAGAGCCAGGTAGGGGGACGTGGGTGGGCCGAAGCCTGGCGGGTCCACTTAACTGGGTCCTCTCTGTCCCCAACTCCAGAGGGCCAGCCAGGGTGGCTGAACCCCTGTCTGAACTGCACACAGCTGGAGTGGGGGGTGAGGCTTGAGCTGGGGTGGGGGTCCCCGCCCAGTTAAGAAGCTAGTGGGCAGAGATGCCCCTCGACTCCTGTTCCTTTTGTTTGCTGCCTCCGGACACACCTGTGGGGCCCAAGCCGCCCCTCCCCCTTTCCTTCCTCTGGTCCCACACCCTCTGACACCCAGGCCCTGTTTCTGCCTTTAGACTCAGCCCTTGTGTGAGTGCTCCGTGGGGTGGAGGGGGATGGCCGTGCCCTCGTGTCCTTCTCTGTATTTGCCTGAGACTGTCTCCAGAGGAACGCCTCGCCGATGTGCTGGCCCTCTCCCACGGAGTGGGGTGCCCCTGCCTGTACAAGTGGGTCTGGTGGACAGTAGGGGAAGTCGAGGGAGTCTGTGAAGGAAGATCGGAGAGTCTGACGTTGGGAAGGAGCCTGCTGGGGAGGCCCTGTGACTTGACAATAGGGATATTAGGGAAAGGGGATCGGCTGCCTAAGAGGGCTTTGCCAGCCCAGCCTCAACCTCTGATCTGAACTTGCAGTTTTCTCTGGCCCTTCCGGAATGTCACCGTCCCTTGATGTGGGAACTCTCATTCAGTTCCTGCAGCTGGCCCAGCGGGCCCCCTGAGCCTGTACTGTAGATCAGAGGCATGAGAGGCAGTAGTTGATGCCGTGGTTAAGAGGGCCAATGACAGTTTCCGGACTGGACTGGGAGTCCCTTGAGGAAGCTGGACCCCTGTATCCACCAGGAGTTGAGTGAACCGGCACTGGCTCTTCCTCCCACCCCCACTCCTCTTTTGAGACATAGTATCTCTGTGAAGCTCTGGTTGGCCTAGAACTCACTGTGTATTTATTTCAGGGTGGTGTTGAACTCATAGGCATCCCACTCTGCCTCTGGAGTGCTGGGCATAACAGCATGAGTCATTTTGCCCTGCCGGAATCTGCTGTGACTTAATTTAAAAACACAGTTGTGGCCCCGAGTTGGGAACTCTTCCCTGGAACACACAGTGTAGCACAGTCCCTATTGTCATACTGAGGCCTGACACCTGCCATTGACCGTCTGAAGGCAGGAGCCCAGGCCAGGCTGGTGGACTGGGGGATGCCTGGAAAAAGGAAGCAGGTGTGTGTGTGTGTGTGTGTGTGTGTGTGTGTGTGTGTGTGTGTGTGTGTGTGTCCCGCCCCCACTGAGCAAAGCTAGGTCACTCTCTGAATTCCCTGGGATTCAGGGCTGTAGGTAGGTACGCATTTTCCTGTCTTCATCAGCAGTGGATTAAAACAGGAACTGGAAATATTTTTAAGCCCTGACCACCTGCTGTCAGGAATCTGGGTCATCATAAAGTCCGTTGCTGTAAGCGTGCAGGACCCAGTTCCTGACATCTCCCCAGGGGCAAGAGGGCCACCCGCTGGCTGCTGTTTGATATGTCCCCATCCTTTCTGCCCAGAGAGACACAGACACAAGTGTCCAAACAGCAAGCATCAAAACCCAGATTGGTTTCTTCCTCCCTCAAGGCTGCAAGGTCCACCTTCTTCCCCCCTCCGTCTCTCCTTTGTCTGGTACCTGACCCTGGCAGGGAAATGAGTCATCTGAGGTCCGGCATTGCGCGCTGGCTGCAAGCCCTGGCTCAACTGGGTGTGTAACCCTTCGGCAGTTTCCCCCCACTCTTCTGAGCTCCACACTCCTCGTGTGTTAATGAGGGTGAGAGGGGGTGACACGGATAGGACTGGGGTGCAATCCCTGGCAGAGGAGGCGTGTCCTCGCCTGCCACTCCCTACTTCAGCCACTCCCCTGCTGTCCTTGTGGGGCTGGCTGTGTGGAACGTTCTGGAGAGGAAGGGGACAACGATGCAAGGCTGGAGACAAGGTCAGGGGAGACCATGGAGGAAAGATCTGCAGGGTTACTGGCATTGCAGGCCAGGCGCCAGGGGGTCAAGGCTCCGGTGGGGCCTTTCTGTTCTTACTCAAGAGTGAGGAAGAGTCCCTGGGTGGTTCTGAGTGGCTGTGGTGTGAGTTGCCTGGATCAGGGGTCTCTCTGACCGCCCTCCCAGCCGACCAGCTAGGGGCTGGGACGACCAATCAGCAGGCTAGTGATATCATCTATCTGGAGAAGCCGGCCGGCAGGGCAGCAGTGTTAAAGCTTCAGCTACTGGCTCAGCTGTTAGAAGCATTGGCAACTCTTCCAAAGGACACAGGTTTGATTCCCGGCACCTGTAACTCCATTTCCAGGGGACCTGGCGCCCTCTTCTGGCCTCTGTGGGCACTGCATGCTCGTGGTACACATGGTGCTTGTATACAGGCAGAGCACTCAGATGTAAGGCATAAAACGAAAAGGAAAACCAAACAGAGACTCAGTTCAAGGTCATCCTCCCCTACGTAGTACGTTGGAGGCCAGCTTGAGCTACATGAGACCCTCCTGACTCCCCCTTTCCTGCCCAGGACAAAGAGAAGGGGAATCCCTACACCACAGCAGCCATGGCAGGAATGGCTGATTCAGGCATAAACCATTGATGTTTGTGGAAGCCCTTGGGTGACTGGAGAGGGTGACAAATTGTGAGGCACTGGCTCCTTGTTAACTCGCAGGAGCAGGCAGAGGGGTGACAGCTCAGCAGTTAGGAGCACTTACTGCTCTCCTGGAGGAGCCCATTTCAGTTCCTAGCACCCAGGCTGGATGGTTTGAAACCACAAACCTGAAACTCTTCTTTGTGTGTGTATGTGGGGGGGAGGGGAGCTTCAAGACAGGGTTTCTCTGTGGCTTTGGAGGCTGTCCTGGAAGTAGCTCTGTAGACCAGGCTGGCCTTGAACTCACAGAGATCCACCTGCCTCTGCCTTCCGAGTGCTGGGATTAAAGGTGTGCACCACCAATGCCTGGCTCTGAAACTCTTCTGTATATACCTCGATCCCCACACTCTCACTCTCTCTTCTGGCCTCTGTGTGTGTGTGTGTGTGTGTGTGTGTGTGTGTGATTTGAACATTTGAACTCAGAGTCTTATAATGCTAACCCAATACTGAGCTGTGTGTGTGTTTGTGTGTGTGTGTGTGATTTGAACGCAGGTTCTTATAGCTGCTAACCCAATACTGAGCACGTGTTAGCTCAGGGCCCATGGGTGGGATTTCTGCACCAGAGGAGGCACGATGACAAGGGTTCGAGGAGGCAGATGTGGTGTGGCGTGGTCTCGGGATCCAGAAGGCTGAACTATTCTTGTAACTCTGTAGGCTTGAGCTATTTAAAGATGAAAACTGGGGGAGAGCCAGGCTTGGTGGCTCATGCCTGGAATACTGGTACCAGGGAGGCTGAGGCAGGAGGATTGCTTTGAGCTGGAGGCCAGCCTAAACTAGCGTGAGACCCTGTCTAGCATCACCGCCACCGCCCCAGAAGGGGAAAACCCTGATAATTCCAGCCTGTCAGGAGAGCAAGGCAGGGGAGCGGAGCATTGCATAGAAGCCGTGAAGGCAGAGGCTGGGGGCGGCTCACCCCACAGGGGAAGAGGGGAGCAGACGCCCAAGGGCGAGTGAGCCCGGGGCTCTGTTCATAATGTGGAGGGTAGCGTGCCCTGTGCTGATGGAGGAGGCCTGACCCTGCAGGAAACGGGAGAGTCCTGGGTGGAAGTGTAGGCAGACCTGGGAGGAAGAGGAAGAGCTGGCGGCTGGAGGCTGAGGGGATCAGGCCAATCGTAGGAAGCCGCGGCCGCCCTGGGTTTGGCCGACGTGGGAGGCTGTGGGCTTCTTGCTAGCTTCTGTTTTCTTGTTTTCTAATGGGACTGCATCAGGGCCAGGCCATCGGGGACCAGGCCCTTGGCAGTTAGAAGGCTACAAGACGGACAACTCTCCAGGAAGGGGGAGGAACAGATACATCTAGACAAATATGATAAGTACAGACGCAGCCTCCAGGCCGGGGCTGTGTGTGTGCGTACGCGTATGTGTCTGTGTGCATGCGTGTGTGTGTGTGTGTGTGTGTGCGCGCGCGCGCACACGTGTGTGCGTGCGTGCATGTGTGCACGCGTGTGTCTATGTGCGTGTGTGCGTGCGTGCGTGCACTCGTCATTAGCTCCATATGTGTCTGTCTGTAGCAGTCCAGGTTGGGGGGGGGGGGCTGCTATTCAAGGCTCAGGCAGGCCATAGACCTGAGAGCAGCCAGGCTTGAAGGGTTATCACAGTTCAGGGTGTTCCGATACTGACTGAAGAACAGTCTCAAGCCCTTTTTTTGGGGGGTTCTCCCTGCCAGAAAGTGGTTGGTAGCCCCTGCCCCTCTGTTGACTCTGAAGTCTCGTTCCTTGGAAACAGGCAGTGGGCACTTGGGGGGAAGGCTTGACTAAGGGAAGCAGAGGGTGTGCGTGGTGGTGAAGATGGGGGTGACCACAGTCGTGGTCTGAGTGTGTGTCCTTCCCGCTCAGGTGTGTCACCATGCCGACTGCCAGCAGCTGCACCGCCAGGGGCCCCTCAACCTGTGTGAGGCCTGTGACGGCAAGTTCCACAGCACTGTGCGCTACGATGGGCATGTCCGCTTTGACCTGCCCCCACAAGGTAAGCCCCCGGGACGAGGCCTGGGCACCCCCCCCCTGAGAACTCCGGCAGCCCAGAATCCCCTCTCTTGGCGGAAGCAGTGCTTGGGTGGTAGCCATTGGAACCCTGGTAGGACCATGCACGGAACACAAGAATGAAATAGGAACCTGCGGATACACCTCCCGTAGCTGTCCCTGCCGCTGGCCAGGGTCAGCACGGGAGTCCCCTCTTCCCAATTCTGCCTGTCCCTGGGGCCAGCGACTTCTGGGTTGAAAACTCTCCACACCAGGCCTCCGGCCTAGGAGAGCAGGTTGCTAAGTCACTGTTGTTGGAAGGAACTTGGGGGAGGGAATTAGAAAGGCCACCTGCTGAGTAGGGACTGGAAGACACCCAGACCACCTGTCACCTTTCCCATCTGGTAAGAAAGACAAAGGGACTCTCCACTCCCCCAGGTCTCCTGGGACTTCAGGTGTGGTAGAGGGGGGGGGGGCCCTAAAAGGAAGCACTGTGGACTTGGTCCCTTCTGAGACAGCCCCTGAGGCCTGCCTCTCTTACCCTCCTGCTGTAGAAAGGTAACTGAGGCTGCAGGTGGGCTTGTATTTGGGCTGGGGTATCACTGGTCTATCATTCCAGGGCCTGTGGTCCTTTTGAGTCTGGGGACTTGGATAATGATGGAACCCATTCTTGGAAGAACTGAAGGTCTTGAGTCACTGGGGAGCTCCAGGCTCTGTGCCTTTGGAAGAGGCAGTATCTAAGGGTTAAGGATGGGCCAGAGAGGGACCACGGTCATAACCACTGCCCCCCCCATCCCTTTCTTCAAAGGCTCTGTCCTCGCACGGAACGTTTCCACCCGGTCCTGCCCCCCACGCACCAGCCCTGCCGCAGACCTAGAGGAAGAGGAGGAGAGCTGTGTGGACGGGAGAGGGTAGGTGTGGACCGTAGGCGCGAGCCCAGGCACCACGTGCTCCATGGTGCTTCTCCAGAGGACTGCACTCCTGCCTTGCCTTGATTTCTAGAAGAAAACTGCCCCCCTGCTGGTCGGCTCATATCCTAACTAGTTAACCGTTGTGTGTATGTGAGACTCCCTTGTTGGCCACCAGAGGGCAGACAATCCCACACAGGCAGCCGGGTAGAAAGCATCCAAGTTTAAAGTCCAGTTGACGCAGGGTGGGCGCCCACCAGGACTCGCGCTTACACCCCACACCGTGGGGAACCCACCAGCACCTCAACATCTGCTTCCCTACAGGGACCGGAAGAGCACCGGCCTGAAGGTCTCCAAGAAGAAAGCCAGGAGGAGGCACACGGATGTAAGGAACCAGGAGGGCTGACCGCCAAGCCTCCCGGAAAGGCAGCTTCTCTCCCCGGCCTTTTCTTTCCCTGAGTCTGGTCTCCAGGCCGGGGATGGGGTCTAGATGTGCGTGACCCCCTTCCCCCCCAGCCTACAGCTCAGAGCTGCCCGACTGTCCCGAGTATGTTGGGGGGGCAGGTGGAACGCGGGGCGGGGATCCCCGGCCGGCCTTCGTCTCCCTGTTGGGGTTTTCATCCGGGCTCCAGGGAGTGTCGGTAAGCAATCGATGGGGTGGTGGTGGAGACGCTAATAGACTCCTGTACTCTCAGGACCCAAGCAAGGAATGTTTCACCTTGAAATTTGACCTCAACGTGGACATTGAAACAGAAATTGTGCCAGCCATGAAGAAGAAGTCACTGGGGTAGGGCCTGAGGAGGAAGCGGGGGTAGGACAGATATAGTTCCTTTGTCAGGACTCCCAGTCTCTGCGTCGTGTGTGTGTGTGTGTGTGTGTGTGTGTGTGTGTGCGCGCGTGTGCGTGTGTGCGCACGCACGTGCATGCGTGCACATGTGTGCAAGGCTGTCTGTCTGTCTGTCTGTCTGTGCACTCCTGTGGGCAGGCCCATATGGGTGTGACACCTTCACGAGGCTCACCTGTGTGCTCTAACCCTGACTGGACCGCTGTGCCCTAGAGGGACCTACCTATAAGACTCCGGGGCGGGGATCCGTGTGCCCGTGTGCAGTGCGGCTGTTCGTGCTGCTTTTTTCCATTTGTAACGGGAGGTGGCGGGAAACGTGCCTGTGGGTGGGCTGGAGAGTCACATGATTGTCCCCCTAAAACACACATTTCTTCCTGGGGGGTGCAGGGAGGTGTTGCTACCTGTGTTTGAAAGGAAGGGCATTGCCCTGGGTAAAGTGGATATCTACCTGGACCAATCCAACACACCTCTGTCCCTCACTTTTGAGGCCTACAGGTTTGGAGGACACTACCTGAGGGTCAAAGGTGAGCAGAGCAGCAGCAGGCTCCACGGGGCCACCTAGCTGGGTGGGGTGGCTGGGGCTCCTTGGGGCCTCCCGACTGTGGAGCCCTTCCTGGGCTCAGGTTCCCATTGGCCATGCTCCTGAGCTGGCTCATTAACATACAGGTGTCTTTTGCTGGGCGCTGGTGACTGGTGCTGGCAGGGTGCTGGCAGGGCGGGGCTCCCAGGGAGGGTAGCTCAGCCTAACCCTTGAATCCTCGGGGGAGAAGGGACTCGGCCCCTGTGCCTCCCGTTTCCCAGGCACCAAGGACCTCTCATGCTTTACCTGCTGCCCCTAGGCAAGCCGGGGGACGAGGGCAAGGTGGAGCAGGGAGTAAAGGACTCCAAGTCTCTCAGTTTGCCCATCCTGAGGCCCACTGGAGCTGGGCCCCCCGTGTCGGAGCGTGTGGACCCTCAGAGCCGCCGGGAGAACAGTCTGGACATCTTGGTGAGGAGGAGGGGTAGGGCAGGGCACCTCCGAAGGAGGAATCCTCCTGAGTTCTCCACTCCATCGCTCTTGGAGCTTAGGTTCCGCTTCTGCAAGATGCGAGTGGTTGGCCGTAGGACAGGGGTCTCTCTCTGTATGCAACTAGTCTAGATGATGCATTTTGTCTCTGAATGTTGTAGTGCCCAGGGGGTCAGAGTACATGGAGTATGTTTATCTGTGGGGCAGGGGGGCAGGGGGAATGCTATGTAACAACAGCACATTGGTGTTGGGAGGTCACAGTGTGTCACCCACTGGGTGTGAGTGTTTCATGGGTCTTGTCCCTTTTCTGTTCTTATCTGTGTATCCTCTACCTACCCACCTATCATCTGTCTACCTGTCACCTATCTATCACCTATATTTCTATCTCTGTCATCTATTATCATCTGTCATCTCTGTCTGTCTCTGTCACTTATCATGTCATCTATATGTCTGTCTTTATCATCCATCTACTATCATCTGTCATGTATATGCCTGTCTGTCTGTCTATTTATCTTTGAGACAGGGTCTCACTGTGTAGTTTTGGCTGGCCTGGAACTCATTATATAGCAGAGGCTGGCCTCACAGTCACAGATCACACAGGCTCTGCCTCCCAGGAGCTGAGATTAAAGGCGCTCACCATCACACCCAACTCCTCCTTTTTCTTTCCCTCTTTTTTTTTCTGGAGCGTTTTAATTTTTAAAGTTTTTTTTATTGTGTGTGTATGAGTGTATGTATGCATACCGCATATATTCAGTGCCCTTGGAAGCTGTGACAGCATTAGATCCCCTGGAACTGGAGTTATTACGGACGGTTGTGAGATACCGTGTAGGTGATGGGAACCAACCCCAGGTCCTCTGCAAGAGCAGCTGGTGCTCTTTGTTCTTGCTCTTAACTCCTGAGCCTTTTGGAGCTCTATTTGTGGGGGCTCCTGAGTGAGAGTGTGTGTGTGTGTGTGTGTGTCTGTGACACGCGCACGTGCAACCCCGAGTTTCTTCCTACCTGTTTCCTGCTTAAAGCTGGGTAGCCTGGATCCGGGTGGCCTGGAACAGTAGTTGAGGTGAGCCTGTGTCTGGACATCTGGGTCTCAGTGGAGATGGTGCCCGGGGTCAAGGAAGACTTGTGTCTGCCTGCTTGATCCGTGTCCTGGAAACCCTGGTGTGGAGCTTCGGGGCTGGTGGGAGGCGGCTCTTGACCCTTCATCTCCCTGGCCAGGCGCCCGGCCGCCGTCGCAAGAACATGTCTGAGTTCCTGGGGGAGCCGAGCATCCCCGGGCAGGAGCCACCGCCGCCGTCCACGCCTTCCAGCTGTTCTCTGCCTGTCGGCAGCAGCGCCGGAGGCACCAGCGGTGGGAGCGGCGAGAGCTGGAAGAACCGGGCAGCCAGTCGCTTCAGCGGCTTCTTCAGCTCCAGCCCCAGCACCGGCGCCTGTGGCCGGGTATGTGGCGCCACCGTGGGCTCGGGGCAGAGCCGCTAGCCGACCCCGACCCCCGACCCCCCTGACCCTGGGTCTCCTTGCAGGAAGTGGACCGGATGGAACAGCTGGAGGGCAAGCTGCATGCCTACAGCCTCTTCGGGCTACCCAGGATGCCCCGGAGGCTGCGTTTTGACCATGATTCCTGGGAGGGGGAGGAGGAGGAGGAGGAGGAGGAGGATGACGAGGAGGAGGAGGACAGTGCAAACCTGAGGCTGGAGGACAGCTGGCGGGAACTCATTGATGGGCATGAGGTGGGTGTAGCGGGGGAGGGGGGCTGCTCGGCCGTCGAGTGGGAGAGGACGGGGGGCGCTATAGTGGAGTTACCGTGTGACAGTCACAATCGGCGAGATGGGGGGGCCGCCTCCCCTCCAGATCTGACCGTCCCGGCACACCCTAGTCTTCTGGCTAACCTGCCCCGCCCGGCCCTCTAGAAGCTGACCCGGCGGCAGTGCCACCAGCAGGAGGCGGTGTGGGAACTCCTGCACACGGAAGTCTCCTACATCCGGAAGCTGCGTGTGATCACCAACGTGAGTTGTGTCCCCCCTGCAGAGGCCAGCTGAGTGCACGCTCAGCTGAGCGGGGCCCCTGCTTGCTTGGTAACGGCTGGCGGGGGGGGGGGGTCAAACTTCAGCCGCGGACCGCATCCCGGGAGTGGATCCCCCGCAGGTGCCTGGGAGGGGGCGCCAGGCGCCTGGTCCAGGTGAAGCCCCAGTCGTTCAGCAACGGCTGTTTCTGAACACCTGCCGTCCGGGTCACGCTCCCAGGAGCTGGCACCCCGGCCGGGACACAGTGGATAGGCACTTGGGGGATTTCAACGGGGGGGGTAGGTAGCACCTGCCCTGGAGGGAGGCCGAACCCGCAGAGGTGGCCCAGAGCATTCCAGCCCTGCTGAGAAGCCATTGTCCCCTAGCTTCTCCTCCTGGCGGGACGGGTTAGGGTGACCCCTTCCCCAGTTGGACCATGGGTGTGGAGGCGCGAACGCCCTCTTTCTTTATCCCTGGCTGCTTCGGGCCCTCTGGGGAAGGGGTGACTCAAGAGTCTGGGTGGGACCTCCCCCCTCCCCACCCCTGCTGCAGCCTCCCCTCCCCCTACAGCTGTTCCTGTGCTGCCTCCTCAACCTGCAAGAGTCTGGGCTCCTGTGTGAGGTGCGACCTGGCCTGGGGCGGGGTCCGGGGGCGGGGGTCGCTAGGGGCAGGGGCGGGGCGAGCAGGGAGGCGTGGTTGGGCCGGGGCGGAGCCGACCCACGCCCTCTGTTGGCCCAGGTGGAAGCTGAGCGCCTGTTCAGCAACATCCCCGAGATCGCTCGGCTGCACCGCGGGCTGTGGGGCAGCGTGATGGTGCCGGTGCTGGAGAAGGCGCGGCGCACGCGGGCGCTGCTGCAGCCTGGGGACTTTCTCAAAGGCTTCAAGATGGTATGGGCAGGGACACTGGAAAAGCCCCAGGGCTAGATCCCGCCTACCCATCCGTTCCCTCTGGTTCCCACTCACCCCAATCCCAGGGTACCTCTGGCCAAGAGAGGAGGAAGTAGTTCGTTCTGGTTACCTGGGTTTGAGTCCTTGCCACCAGGCTATGGGGGTGGTGACGTTGAGGCCCGCCGGGGTGATACGGGAAACCTCTGGGGCCCCCGGAATCCTGGGGTAACTGGGCGCCGTGGTTCTGCCCCGGGCCAGTTCGGCTCGCTCTTCAAGCCGTACATCCGATACTGCATGGAGGAGGAGGGCTGCATGGAGTACATGCGCGGTCTACTGCGTGACAACGACCTGTTCCGCGCCTATGTCACGGTGAGCGCCCGGAGCTCAGGGTGCAGAAGACCATGGGCACAGCTGGGTGGGCGGGGCCTGGGAGGAGGGGTGAGGGTAGACCTGAGCTCCGCCCCCCTGCTCCGCAGTGGGCCGAGAAGCACCAGCAGTGTCAGCGGCTGAAGCTGAGTGACATGCTGGCCAAGCCCCACCAGCGACTCACCAAATACCCACTGCTGCTCAAGTCGGTGCTGAGGAAGACGGATGAGCCCCGTGCCAAGGAAGCGGTGATCACCATGGTAACTAACCCGAACTGTGAACGCACCGCCCTCCTAAGCTCTGTCTCTCCCAGATCCCGGCCCTAAACCCCATCGCCTGTCTTCAGATCAGCTCTGTGGAACACTTCATCCACCACGTGAACACGTGCATGCGGCAGCGGCAGGAGCGCCAGCGGCTGGCGGGCGTGGTGAGCCGGATCGACGCCTACCAGGTGGTGGAGGGCAGCAATGACGAGGTCGATAAGGTGGGCGCTGGCTCTGGTGTCCTGGAAGCCCCGTTTGGGTGTGGGGGCGGGGGACATGCTGCACATCTCTTGGGGGCCTCTCAGACTTGGCCCTGGCCTCTCTGACATCCGCCCACCCCCTCCCCCCACCTAAAGCTCTTGAAGGAATTTTTACATCTGGACCTGACAGCACCCATGCCTGGCGCCTCCCCTGAAGAGACTCGGCAGCTGCTGCTGGAGGGGAGCTTGAGGATGAAGGAGGGGAGAGACAGCAAGGTGACCCTAGGACCACCCCACACCAGAGCCTTTGTCCCACACACCCTTGCTCTGTAGGTACCGTCCTTCCCGAGGCTCTCCCCTGGGCCCCAGCCAGTAGTTCATAGTTGCCTGGTTAATTACACGACAGCTGTCCTCGTTTGCTTCTGATTGACGTGAGGAAATACCATGGTCAAAAGCAATTTAATCCCAGCACTCAGAGAGGCAGAGCCAGGCGGATCTCTGTGAGTTCGAGGTCAGCCTGGTCTACAGAGTGAGTTCCAGGACAGCCTCCAAAACAATACAGAGAAACCCTGTCTGGAAAACAAACAAACAAAAAATCAATTTGGGAAGGAAAGGGTTTCTTTGGCTTACATCATTAGTCAAGACAATGCCCCACAAATTTGTCTACTAATTTGATGGGAGTATTCATCTCAGTGAAGGGCACCTGTTCCTAGATGACCCTGGCTGTGTCAAGTTGACAGAGAAACTAACCAGGGTGGTAGGGTATGCATGCACCTTTAATCCCAGCACTCAGAAAGCAGAGGCAGGTGGATCTCTGTGAGTTGGAGGCCAGCCTGGACTACGGATCGAGTTCCAGGACAGCCATGGCTACACAGAGAAACCTTGTCCCAAGAAACAACAGCAAAGAAACTAATCAGTGTGGTGACCCAAGAACATGTCACAGCTATCACAGTGGAGATGGTTGCCTGCTTAAATTTTACAAAGTCCAGTAGCAGGGTCACAGCCCTTGAAAGTGACAGGGAGGGGTGTGCTCTGCAAAGCCAGGAGTTTCCCAGAACCTTACTACTGAGGTGGCAGCCTACTGGTAGTTAGCACTTGCAAATAATGATTTTAATGTCATCTCCCTTTTATTTCTTTTCCTTCTCTTTATTTTTTTGTGTGTGGGGGGGCAGGGTTTGAGACAGGATTTCTCTGTAGCTTTGGAGGCTGTCAAGGAAGTAGCCATTGAAGAAGGTTGTGAGCCATCATGTGGTTGCTGGGAATTGAACTCAGGACCTCTTTTATGATGGATTGAGACCAGGCCCTCGGGGATGCTGACAAACCTTCTATTGTGACAATACATTCCTATCGTGTTTTTCTCTTTTCCATCATTTGCTTTTTTGAGATAGGGTCTCATGTAGCCTGCAGAATCACTGTGTAGTTGAGGCTGGGCTTGAACACAATTGGTTGTTATATTGTTTTCTTTTTGTTTTGAGAGTGTTTCACTATGTAGTCTTGGCTGTCCCGGAACTCTCTCTGTAGACCAAGCTGGCTTTGAACTCACAGAGATTCACCCACTTCAAGACTCATCAGTGCTGGAATTAAAGGCGTGCCCCAACTCACTTGTTGTATTTTTAATGTACTGTGATTGAGACAAATCACAAATATGTACCTTTTTGTTTTTACTTTTTTTTTCCTTTGGAGACAGGGTCTTAATATGTAGTACTGGCTAACCTTGAACTCACAGTGATCCCCCTGCCTCTTCTACCACACTCAGCTCAAGATGTGTGTTTCTGATTTAAAAAAAAAAAATCCTGTTTAATTTTGAAGCTCATGGTAGGAAATGGAGGTATGTAACAAAAACTGAGCTCCAGGGGCCATTGGGCTCCGTGGGCACTGACTGCCAAGTCTGTTGATGATCTGAATAGGAGAGAACCAGACCGTGCGACCCACAGATACACACATGTACACAAAAGCAAAAGCAGCCCCCAGCCAAAGTTGTGGCAGGGGCTGAAGAGATGGCTCAGTGGTTATGGGCACTTGGCCTCTCTTGCCAAAGACCTGGCTGAGTTCCCACCATCCACAGGGCGTTTCCTAACCATGTAGAGCTCCAGTTCCATGGGATCCCTCAGGCACCAGGTGTACACATGGAACATATATATACAGACAAACACTCACACAAATGAAGGTTAAATGGTATTAAATTAATAAGTAAAATGGCCAGGTATGGTAGTATATACCTTTATTCGTTTTTTGTTTGTTTTTGTTTTTTCCTTTGTTTTTTGAGACAGGGTTTCTCTATGGCTTTGGAGGCTGTCCTGGAACTAGCTCTTGTAAACCAGGCTGGTCTCAAATTCAGAGATCCAACTGCCTCTGCCTCCCGGGTGCTAGGATTAAAGGCGTGCGCCACCACTGCCTGGCACCTTTATTGTTTTTAAAGATTTATTTATTATATATGCAGTATTCTGTCTGCATATATGCCTGTAGGCCAGAAGAGGGCACCAGATCTTATTACAGATGGTTGTGAGCCACCATATGGTTGCTGGGATTTGAACTCAGGACCTTTGGAAGAGCAGCCAGTGCTCTTAACTCCTGAGCCGTTTCCTCTGCAGCCCTGGTACACGCCTTTAATCCCAGCTCTCCAGAGGCAGAGACAGGTGGATCTCTGAGGGTTCCAGGCCACCCTGGACTACAGAGCGAGTTCCAGGAGAGCCAGGGCTATACATAGAAACCCTGTCTTGGAAAACAACAGAGGTTTTCAGCAGCCTCAGGACCCTGTCTGTGACCCTTAACGCCCTGTGCTTCTCCACCAAAGATGGACGTGTATTGCTTCCTGTTCACTGACCTACTCTTGGTGACCAAGGCCGTGAAGAAAGCAGAGAGAACCAAGGTCATCAGGCCACCACTGCTGGTGGACAAGATCGTGTGCCGGGAGCTTCGGGACCCTGGTGAGGAATTCCGGTCCCCTGCTCCTGGTCAAGGGGCTGCTGTGGGCAGGGGCTCTGATACTAACCTGGCCCTTCTGTGACCAGGCTCCTTCCTCCTCATCTACCTGAATGAGTTCCGCAGTGCCGTGGGGGCGTATACATTCCAGGCCAGCAGCCAGGTCCTGTGCCGAAGCTGGTTGGACACTATTTACAATGCGCAGGTGAGAGCAGCGGCAGAGGGCTGCCGGGAAGTGGGGTCTGTCTCTCACAGCTCATTCTGTGTCTGCGCCCACCCGGCCTGCAGAACCAGCTGCAGCAGCTGCGTGCGGAGCTGTGTGCACAGGAGGAACATCCGGGCAGCCAGCCCCTGCAGAGCCTGGAAGAGGAGGCAGAGGACAGCAGCGCCTCCGCCGCCAGCTCGCCCACCGTCCTGCGGAAGAGCAGCGACAGCCTCGACTCTCAGCGCGGGTACGCTCCCCCCAAGACTGCCTGGCAAGCTTGGGCCTCCTTGCTTATAATCCCAGAGCTAGAGAGCTGAGGCAGGAGGGTCACCCCGAGTTTATAACAACCTGGGCAGCAAAGTGAGACCCTGCCTCAAGAAAGAAAGAAAAAAAAGAGGAAGAGAAGAGGAGAAAGGCAGACAGACATAGACAGACAGACAGACATGCAGTCCACCCACCAAGCTAAGGTGCACGTCTGTAATCCCAGCACCTGAGATTACAGGGGGATTGCAGAAAGTTTGAAGCCAACCTGGTCTTTTTAGGGAGCTCTAGGGCTACACAGCCAGACCAGGCCACACACACAGAATGAAAACATTCAGCAGGGTCCATCGGGACAAGTTACCCCAGCCAGCCAAGGACGCAGATAGGGACTGCCCTCTGAATAGTATGACGCTGTGAACCCAGTGGGAGTGGCGGGGGACAGCTGTGTCTCCCGCGAGAGTCCACGCATGGAGGACAGTTTCCCACATGATCCATTGCATGTAGCTGCCTGCAGTCTGTAACAGGTGCTGACGCTCTGAGCCCCAAGCCCCTGCTTCTCTAGGCTGCTTTAGGCTTGTTAGGTATCTCCTGGCTGGTTCACACTTCTTCTGGCCCCTACAGTGCCTCAGATGGTTCCACAGAGACCCTGGCCATGGTTGTGGTGGAGCCTGGGGAGACACTGTCTTCTCCGGAGTTTGGCCGAGGTCCCTTCAGCTCCCAGTCGGACGAGACCTCCCTCGGTACCACTGCCTCATCCATTACTCCCACTGGCGAGCTGCTGCCCCTGGGCCCAGGGGACGGCCGCTCTTGCTCCATGGACTCTGCCTATGGCACCCTGTCCCCCACTTCTCTGCAAGACTTTGTGGCTCCACCCCCTGTGGCAGAGCCGGTGCCCGTGCCCCGGCCCCTGGAGTTACCACCACAGACCCCCTCGCCCCCATCCTCTCCCCGCCTCCGCCGCCGTACACCCGTCCAACTGCTGCCCCGCCCGCCCCACCTGCTCAAGTCCAAATCTGAGGCTAGCCTCCTACAGCTGCCGTCAGGAACTGCCGCCCACGCAGTGCCCCCAGCTCCTAGCCGTAGCCTGTCAGATCTCTGCCTGACCGCTGTGGCCTCTGGGGTGAGGACTCGGAGCTCCCTTCAGGAGGGCGGGCCTGACTGGAATTGCCCAGGGGTGTTTGGCGCTGGCCCTGGCCCTGGCCCTGGCCCCGAGTTGTCGAGACCTGAGAAAAGAGTCAGCTACTCGACTGGGGGACCTACGGATCCTGCCAGGAGAGAGGTGCCTTCGGGGGCTGCTCCCAGCGTGCAGCCCGAGCCTCCCCCAGGGATCTCTGTTCAGCACAGGAAGCTGACCCTGGCCCAGCTCTATCGGATCAGGACCACCTTGCTGCTTAACTCCACCCTCACTGCCTCGTGAGTGGCCCCTGCTGGGGGAGGAGCAGCGGATGACTCAGTGCCCGCGACGGGTAGCACCCGAGTCTCGGGAGTAGGCAGTGATGTAGCAGCCGTGACTGGGGATGGAGCGTGAGAAGGGGGCTTGAGGCCTGTCCCAGTGCTACGTGGGGGTGTCTAGCAGGCAGCAGTGACGGGGACAAGGGCCCGTGGTGGAGAGGAAGGTCAGCTAAAGCCACTTGGTGAATGGCATCCACCAAGGACGGACTTTCTCCCCACCCCTTACAGGGAGGTCTGAGCTGAAGGCTATCCCAAGGGTGCCATTGACTAAGGGACAGCGGAGAGCGTCCTGCCCGGGGGACATGGCACCTGCTTCACCGCAGCCTCGCCTGCGCGTGTGCCAGAGTGCCAGGCAGGATGACCGCCCATCACCCTGTGGCCGATTTGCACTTTGCTGGACTGGATGGAATGGAGAAGGGCCCGTCACGTTCCGGCCCTGGCTGCCACGCTCTACCCCCTTGCCCGGGCAGCCTCTTTTATCTGCTCTTGACATGGCCCAGCCCTAATCCTCTGGGCTAGGCTCCTAAGATTACCCCCCCCCGCCATCCTCCTTTGGACTCATACTGGCCTCTGAGGCTCAGGCTGGGCTCTGTCAAGCTGCGTATTTATTGAGTTTGGCTCTTTTTATAAAGACTTGTATATACTCCCTGGAGAGTGCCTTGCTTCTGAAACCCTGTCTGTTCCCTGTGTGCATTGAGCTGGCTGGGGGAATGCAGGGGGGGGGGCTGTGGAAGACACCGTGCACCAAGCCCGGCTTGTCTCCTGCTACAGCCAGGAGATAACCTTTAATCGGAACCCTCAGGAAATGCTGCTTGTGCCTGCCTTTGCCGACCTCTTCTAGAATCGATAGGGTATTCCTTCGAACTCAGGGTTCGACCCACACCCAGCAGCTGTTCGGGAAGATGTAGGTCTCCTGGCTAGGTTTTCCCAACGCATCCCAAGTACTTGAGGGCCAGAGAAAGGACACCTGCCCCAGGCCCACCTCTAAGAATGGTTCCCAGGACACTTGCCCTAGGCCCACCTCTAAGAATGGTTCCCAGGGCTAGAGCTAGACCCAGGTTGGAGTTAAGATGCAGCCTTGTCCTATATGGGTTTGGCCAAAGCCTGCGTGGGCCTCCAGTGCCCAGAGTGTACCACACCAGGGAAGGCCTCCCGTCTGGTAGAGAGTCACGCCCCCTTAGCTGTTGAAGAGCGGCAGACCCCACCCTGGCCATTCCCTGAGGCGGGCTTTTCTGGATGGCGCAGGCGGGCAGGCCCTGGGCTAGGAACACAGGGGCTGGGCTAGTGGGGAAGCCCCGGGCTGCACCAGAGAACCAGAGAGGCACTCAGGCGGTGCAGACTGCCATGGAGCCTCTGCCAGGGGGCTGCACGAAGGAGGTGAGTGGAGTTGAGGGAGCCCAGGAAACAGCCTGGAAACTTAGCCCAGAGCTAACTAAGCGTCTCATGGGGGTATGGGGGGGGGGATGCTCTCAATTCCCACCTCTCTGAGGGCTGGGTTGCCTCCACCCGCTGACCTAGTTAGAGGTTCGGGCGTGCCCTTCCGTTAAGAGGAAGCGTGCTCTCCCGCGCTGGGGAAAGAGGGGTCTGGGGGCCTCCGCGTCACAGAAGATGTGAATGGGGCCCATAGTGGCCCAGTCTCGATGACTGTAGGGGAAATGGGCAGAGGACTGGCAGGGGGGAGGGGGTATCTGCAGTTCGTAAGCTGAGTCTGTAGGAGAGAGAGAAGGAAGCTGCTCCCCCGCCCCTCCCCTCGGGCGCCCCATTATGCCCAGAAGTGAGTTGCTCAGAAGGCAAATGTTGGGGCTCTGGAATGGCGGAGGAGCCTGGGAGGGAGAGGTGGCCTCCTGGGGCAGCCACACAGGGGTCAACAGTACGTGTCCCCCAGGCTCTCTTGCCCCTCCTGCTGCTGCTGCTGCTGCCCCCCGGGGGCCAGGGCCAGGGTAGCAGCACTCCTGGCCGGTGCGACTGTGCCGGGGACTCGCAGAAGAGGTATGGCCCGTTTTGTTGCAAGGGCTGCCCAAAAGGTAGGTGTCTGAAAGGGTGATGCAGGAAGAAGGAGGGGCTGGGGGGTAGGGGGAGGCAGGCTGGGCATGGGGTCCAGGGAGGCTGGGGTAGTGACCACAGGTGGGGAGGGAAAGGCAGGGAGCGGGTAGGATGGCTGGACTGTGACTCTTGCTGGGGGTTTGGCAGGACACTACGTGAAGACCCCCTGTGCAGAGCCCTGTGGCAACTCCACCTGCCTCCCCTGCCCTCGGGGCACCTTCCTAACCTGGGGAGACCACTTTATGTCTGGCTGCACCCGCTGCCAAGCCTGTGATGAGATGGGTGAGGGGGCTGTCCGGGGCTCAGGGGACTTGTGTGGACAGGCCACGGCCAGGGCCATTGGGAAAGCCGGCTCGGGCCCAGCCTGTGGGTGTGAGGCCCCTGCGTTCACGTATCCCTACATCCACCATGTATTCTGTTTCCCCAGGCCTTTCTCCTTTCCCCTGTGGCCTTCCTGTTTCTGCATGCCTTGGCCTCTGGTCAACTCTGAGCAGCCTACTTCTTCTACCTGTGGGGCTAGCTAGTACCTCCTTCTCTGGGGGGGGTTGTGGTTATCCCCTGCTTCTTTGTGGAGGTCAGTAGCTCAGACACATCCGTGTTCCCCGTACTCCCGCACCCCTGACAGCCTTTCAGGTGACCCTGGAGAACTGTTCAGCGGTGTCCGACACCCGCTGTGGCTGCCAGCCGGGGCTTGTCTGCTCCACCGACCCCTGTAGGGAAAGCTCGCCCTTGGCTTGCCTGTCATGTTCGGGTTGTGCGGCTCCACCGACCCCTGGTGAGTACTCCGTCCTGGGCCGTCTACCCTTAGGGCCCTTTTCCTCCAGCCCCCTCCTCCTCTGCCCTGATGCAAACCATGTCCTGGTCTGCCGGGCCCTGGGAACATGGCAGTGGCTGTGCATCCTGCCGCACGCACGTAGGGGGCCGTGCTGGGCCAGAGGGGAGGGCGGCTGGGAGCAGGGTGGGGACTCTGGGGGCAGATGCTGCTGGTTTAGAGGTGGGGAAAGATGTAGGTGGGGGCAGCCTGGCTCTGTCATGTTCGGGGGGCATTTCAGATATCATGAGGGTTTAGGATACATAACGGGGCGGGGCCTTGTCTCCACTTTCTGCCCGAATGCCCCTCAGACCCTCCCACCACCTGTTTGAGGGTGGATTTATCACGGATTGGTCACACCGACTGCCAGAGCTTTGAAGCTGGATTTGCTTCTAGTCCTTGGCAAGCTGAGAGATCTCGGTTTCCCCCTTGAGCAGGGGGCACCGCGATGCTCTTCCCAGGGCTGCAGCAAGGGGGATGGCACCTATATTCACTCATCTACTTGAGTATCTGCCACCTCACTAATTCCAGGCGCCAGGACTACCCAGGCGCTGAAGGCGAAAACCCCCATTCTTGTAGAGTCTGGGTAGGAGCTCAGTAGTGAGTGACAGTTGATGTAAGTGACCCTCGAGGCATTTCAGTGATACTCAGGGAACGGTGGGGGGGGCAGAATGAGGTCCACAAGATGGAAGCCCCCGCCCCCTACAAGGTGGGGAAGGGGGTCAGGCAATCCTGGGTAGCCTTCAGCCCCGCCTCCGCTCCCTTCACAGGGGTTTCAACGGAGTCTGCCCTGGAACCACAGACACAGCCAGCGGTGCCTGAGGCTGGGGGTGGAGTAGGTGGTAATGCGGGGATTCGAGTGGGAAGAGTGGAGTGGGCCGGTGTGAGGCAGGGGGTGGCTGCTAGCTGGCGCTCACCAGCCGCTGTTCTTGTAGTATTTTGGGCCCAGCTGCTATTGGGGGCCTCATTCCTGCTTGGGGCCACCCTGATCTGCACGTACTTCCGATGCCAGCCTTGCAAGCCTGTGGTGCCTGGTAAGTCCATACATGTACCGCACCCATGTGTTGCCAGAGGCCTGGAGCAAAGGTAGGTAGGTACTCGGGAGCCCCTGGAAGTGATGCAGGCGAAGGGAACCGAGGGAAGGCGGATGAGGCGGGAAAGGACTCGAGGCACATTACTGGATTAGCGCCCAAATCCTGGCACCTTGCCTGCTGTTGACTGGGCCTCTCTGTCTCTGTCAGCAGACACAGCTGGGATGGAGACCCTCACCTCACCGCAGGTAATTGTCTCAGGTCTGGGAAGCTTCTGGAACTAGGGAGTTACAGTCCCCAGTGCTCAGCATGGTTGCTAGCAGAGGTTAGACCTAACAAATGTGCCAAGAGCTATCAGCGAACAAGACCAGCCACAGCGTCTGCTCAAGTGACTGTCCACTATAGTCAAGCAGGTGCTCCAGGCCTAGCATTGAGAGGGGTGGACACCTCCAAAGGACTGGGGGACAGACGACAGACTTCCAGCAGACACAGCAGCCCTTCTACTGGGCCACAGGGGAGAGAGACAGAGCACGCACAGAGTGTGTGTGTGTGTGTGTGCGTGCACATGTGCCCAGAGCCTAGCGAGGTGATTCCGCTTCCAGAATGAGCCAGGGAATGCCCACCCCTGGCTAGAAACTAGCTAAGGGGCCTGTCTAGACACACATGGCTGACTTGGTGCCTCCCACCTTCCAGACTACCCATATCTCCGCCTCAGACAGCGCCCACACCCTCCTGGCACCCCAAGACAGTTCTGGGAAAGTCTGCACCACTGTCCAGTTGGTAGGCAACCACTGGGCCCCTGGTTTATCCCACACTCAGGAGATGGCCGGCAGCCAGGCTCCACAGCCCTGGAATCAGCCACCAAACAGAACTCTTAGTAAGTGATCCCGGTGGCTCAGACCTGACCCCATCTTCCCAAGTCCAAGGTGGGACATTAGTGTTTCACAGTCGACTTCCTGTCCTCACTGGGTGGTATCTGCCCTCCGCAAAGAAGTCCATTAGGCCCCCTGCTGGGGAGCGACCTCACATCCCTGACCCCACCCTCAGGCCTTCCTCTGGCACCTCCGCTCTCGCCAGCGCCTCCTGCAGGCTCGCCTGCTGCTATGCTCCAGCCTGGCCCGCAGCTCTATGATGTGATGGATGCAGTTCCCGCACGACGATGGAAGGAGTTCGTGCGTACGCTGGGGCTGCGGGAGGCAGACATTGAGGCTGTGGAGGTGGAGATCTGCCGCTTCCGGGACCAGCAGTATGAGATGCTCAAGCGCTGGCGGCAGCAGCAGCCTGCGGGCCTGGATGCCGTCTACGCGGCCCTGGAGCGCATGGGGTTGGAAGGCTGTGCCGAGGACCTGCGCAGCCGCCTGCAGCACGGCCCGTGATGTGTGGCCCACCAGCCACTTTGACATTCTAGTGAGCCTAGCAGGAACCTTAAGTATTGTTACTTATGGGTGTAGACATTTTATGTCACTTACTAACCCCCTAGCACGGTCCTGCGTAGCAGCGCCGGCTGGCCTCTTCCCTGCCTACCTGCTCCATGCAGCTCCGGCTAAGGGAAGCGTCATGGAGAAAAACCAGGATGGGCCAAGTGATTGGTTGTACAGCTGTTTATCAGCCTGAGTTTGGACTTGGTATTAAATATCTTAAGTAGCTTCCTGGCGTTTCAGTGGGGCCTGGGGTGTTATGTGACGCTCCGGTTCCCTTTGTTTCCCCCGGGCGTTGAGTGGGCTAAGGGTCCTGACGCCTGGGGAACTGGGGCGCACAGTGGAAACCAGTGGCCTTCTTGGCTCCTATACCAACCCGTCACGCATCCGCATCCGCTATGACCCAGAAGGAGAAAGTCACTGGCTAGTGAGAGTGAATGAGAACCACAGTTGGCGGATAGAGGTTTAATGGGGGAAAGGAAGCGGGCGGGGTCTGGGGTCAGGAATGGTTGCAGGTACAGGGTCCCTGCCCCTCCACTCACACCGCTGGGACAGTGAGAGGCTCAGGGGAGCGCGAAGGTCCTAGCTGGGGACTAGGAGGGCTCAATTGGGGTGGGGGAGTTAAGGTGGGGCCCCTCGGGAGCTGCAGCTCCGCCCCGGCAGGCAAGTTTCATCGTTTCTGGTAAACAATTGACTGAGAGGAAGCCCTCGTCAGGGGTGAGAAATGCAGCCTGGCCTTGGCTAGCGCAGATCTGGGTCGTGGAGGGAGGAAAACCCCTTCCCCGAGCTCGGGGTCTGCCTCCACCCAGGATGCGCTGGCAACGTGGGTTCCGGGCTGCGGGGGAGGGGGCTGCAGCCGGGCTTGAGCCCTGCAGGAAAAGTCACCACCCACGGGGCTGGGGAGAGCTCAGCGCTAGGTGGACCAACATGCAAATATATGTAAGTGAGCATGCAAATAAGCAGCATCTTTCTCGCTCTCTCTTTTTCTGTTTTTTTTTTTTTTCTTTTTCTTTGCGTCAGCGGCTTGGGCACTTTTTTTTTTCCAGGCGACAGCAGCAGTACTCAAGCAGGGTTGGGGATGTGGGTCAGGGAGGGGATCAGGGAGGGTTCCGGCACCGAAGGGAAGGGTGGCAAGGCTCCCAGCCCTTCCGCACCAACCTGGCAGGATGGGGCAGGGGCTGGGGGACCGGTCCCCATCTCTCAGAACTTTCGAGGCCACGCGCAAAAGGCTGAGACTCATATTACTTAGGGATCTCCCCCTTCTTCAGGATGACCTGCCGCTGCCAGGGTGCAAGCTTGGCCTCGTCGTAGCCAAGTGTCCGCAGCTTCTCGGACTGTTCCTTCGCCTTCTGTATTTCCTCCTGCTTCTGTTTCTCCTCCTCTTTTCTGTTTATGGGTGGCAAAGCTCAGTGATGCCTGAGGCCAGCTATGGGGCAGGCCAGACACCAGGATGACAGTGGGACAGAGGAGGTCAGTGAGGGCAGGGACTTCTCTGCTTAGGACCTGAGGTTTTCATAGGGTCATGGTGCAGGGATGCCAGGAGGGGTGGGTAAGCGGAAGCTGAAGTTGGGTTGTTTTGTGGAAGAGTATTACTGGAAAGAGGTATTGGGTCATTAGGTGACCCTGTGTGAGGATTGAATGTTACTGAGTTCAGGGGATCAGTGACAAGAGGTCTGACATTGGAGACGGGACTTGAGTTGTTAGGGACAATCTAAATTACTAGGGAATAGTGCTGAGCCGGTGGGGATCTCATTACTGGGGAACAGGCTAGTGAGCTAGCTAGGGACAGCTTCTCAGAACACAAGGCTAGGAACTGGGGGTATAGCTTCCCAGTAAAGTGCTTGCTTAGAATGCTCTGAGCCCCAACTCTGAAAAAGCATAAGGATAGATTGCTCTGTTGACAGGTCACTACTAATCATATTTGGTTATGGAGCAATTAAAATGTTCAAATTGGCATGCACAGGGCATTTTGAAACCTAAGAATCTTTTTTTTCCTTTCTCTTTCTTCTTCTTTTTTTTTTTTTTGAGACAAACAGGGTTTCTCTGTATAGCTTTGGAGCCTGTCTGGCACTCACTGTAGACCAGGCTGGCCTCCAACTTATAGAGATCTGCCTGCCTGGGATTAAAGGTAAGTGCCACCACTGCCCAGCTGTTTTGTTTTGTTTTGTTTTTTCTTTCTTTTTTTTTTTTTTTTTTTTTGGTTTTTCAAGACAGGGTTTCTCTGTATTGTTTTGGAGGCTGTCCTGGAACCCTCTCTGTAGACCAGGCTGGCCTCGAACTCACAGAGATCCGCCTGCCTCTGCCTCCCAAGTGCTGGTATTAAAGGCGTGCGCCACCAACACCTGGTTTTTTTTTTTCTTTTAAGGGAAAGAAAATCATCTCAAGTGTGTGTGTGTGTGTGTGTGTGTGTGTGTGTGTGTGTGTGTGTGTGAGAGAGAGAGAGAGGGGGGGTTGCGGAGGGATTTTTCGGTATTGCAGGCTAGTCTCAAAGTTGCTTTGTTGACAAGGCTATTTGAACGTCTGCTCCTCCTGCTAGAATTAGAGGCCTGTGCCAGCACTACATGGCTCTGTTGCTACTCTGTTTCCAAGCTCATTTAATTGAATGTGTACAAGCGTTTTGCCTGTATTCATGTCTGCACCATGTGTGTGCCTGGTGCATAAGGGGCTAAAAGAAGGCACTGGATTCTCTAGAACTGGAGTTACAGAGTTACAGATGGTTTTGAGCTGCTATGTGGGCACTGGGAATTGAACCTGGGTCCTCTGGAAGAGCAACCAGTGTTTTAACTACTGAGCCATCTCTCCAGTCCTGTGACTCCAGATTTATGCAATACTGGAGATTGAAGCTCGAGACAGGGTTTCTCTGTGGCTTTGGAGGCTGTCCTGGAACTAGCTCTTGTAGACCAGGCTGGTCTCAAACTCACAGAGATCCTCCTGCCTCTGCCTCTCGAGTGCTGGGATTAAAGGCGTGCGCCACCACCAACACCCAGCGGACCAAGGGCTTTTATTTTTGAACCTATGGCTTCTTTTTTTTTATGCTGGGCAAGCACTCCACCAACTGAGCTATATGCCTAGCTCTCAATAATAACTCTCACGATGAAATGCTAAAATAATAGCTTTCCTACATTAAGTTAAAGTATTAAAATTAAGTTTACCTATATCTTTTAAATTTTTCTCAATGTGGCTACCACAAAATTGAAAATTATGTAAGTGTTGCGCATTGTACTTCTGCCTGGCAGTACCAGGATAGATTCCTGGGTACACAGATTAAGTTGAGGGGAACATGAATGATCAAGTTTGTTGATCTTGTGGTTAAAATAACTGTCCTTGGGGCTGGAGAGATGGCTTATCAATTAAGATAGTGTACTACTCCGCAGAGGACCCAGGTTGGATTCCCAGCACCCACACTGGGTGGCTCATAACCACTTGTAATTCTGACACTCCTGGCCTCCATAGGCACCTTCACGTATGTGTACCTACCCACACACAGACATGCAGACATACATGTAATTTTTGTTGTTATTTTCAAGGCAGGGTTTCTCTGTGTAGTCCTGGCTACCCTAGAACTCACTCTGTAGACCAGGCTGGCCTCGAACTCACAGAGATCCACCTGCCTCTGCCTCCTGAGTGTTGGTACTAAAGGTGTGCAACACCACCACCCGGCTGACACACACACAAAACAGAAAAACCAGCACTATAAGGTAGGCTTTTGTTTTGAGCATGGTCTCCTGTAGCTCAGGTTGGCCTTGAATTGGTGGTGAAGCCAACATAATCTTGAACTCCTAGCCCTGCCTGTACCTACTAACTAGGATTATAGGTGTGTGTTATCACAGTTGGTGAAAAGCAAGGTCAAATGATAGAAGATGGCGGAGGAGGGGGGTCTAGGTAGCTTAAGAATGTGAACAGAGGAGGCTGGAGGGATGGCTCAGAGGTTAAGAGCACTGGCTACTCTTCCTGGGGTCCTGAGTTCAATTCCCAGCAACCACATGGTGGCTCACAACCATCTATAACGAGATCTGGTGCCCTCTTCTGGCATGGAGGCAAAATGTTGTATACATAATAAGTAAATAAATAAATCTTTAAAAAAAAAAAGAATGTGAACAGAGTCTGAGAACTAGACTTTGAGGTGCTCAACAATTAAGGGTCTCGTGTCACCACTGGGAGCTGAAGGCTGTGGTACAAGGACTGAAGTAATGGGCTGGACGAAGGAGCAAAAGGGACAAGCCTCTGTGACTGGGTGGGGGAAGAAGCGGCAGGTTTTAGGCCAGTCCCATACTTACCGCTTCTGCTCCCTGGAATGAGAAAGAGACAGCATTAGATGGTGTCACAACACCAGAGTCAAGACACGAGCCAAGCAGCCTCCTCCAGATACTGACCGCTCCTCCTCCAGCTTCTTCCGAAGAATGTCTCGCCTCCAGGCAGGCAGGCTGGCCAGCCGGGCCTCCTCCTCTTCCTCCTGAAACACAACCACACAGCTTTGAGATTTGCAGGCCGGGGGCATGCACTTCCAACCCAGGGGGCATGGAGAGCTCAGGGACAGCAGAATATAGATGTGTTTGTAAGACCCTCTATCTAGGTGGCCTCCTATGGTGCAGTCAGATAACGGTTGGTGCTTGATGATTTTGGTGATGGCTGCTACAAAGGGGCCTTCGGCTCCCCAGTGACCTGACCAGTGGCCTAAAGGCGGAGCCAGATAGATCACAGGGAGGGAAAAGAGAAGCTGCAGAAAAGTAGCTGGGTCTTGGTTCCCCACAAAGCAAGTGGCTAGATGGCCACCAAGCCTGCCCTCCAGAATTTCTAGGCAGATACAGACTTGTACGGCACACCGGGTCAGCTCAGGAAGACCCAGGTTGCACTGGATCCCCTATGGAGGACCTGCTGGGACATGCTTGCTCTTTTCGTGGGGGGGGGGTGTTCCATACTGTTGGGTTATAATGACATGGGGAGAGGGGCACCAACACAGCCTATAACAGAGTGCTTTATTCCTTGGCTGTCACAGACAGAATAGAAAGGGTCCGAGCACGCCAACACACCACACACAACATTGCACAGGTGGCCAAGGGGACAGCTGCGAACTCCTGTGAAAAGCCAGAGACAGAACTACACTGCCCTCGGGGGACCGAGAGCTCCTTAGTTAGCTTCTGCTGCCTGGCTGCATAGAGGGCAGTACCTGACTCTCCCCGTGACTAACCAACCAGACAAAGGCCTCACTTCCTCCCTCCTGGGCACCC